CAAATTGATTTTGCCGTTGATATTAATAGTGAATTCATTTGTGTTTTAAGTAATGATAAAATCTACAAATTATCAAATGATCACAAACTATACAAAACCATATATAATGATTTAATCGCGTTTTACACCAATGAATACCAAATCACTTATAAAACAATTGATTTGAGAGAAATAAATGAAATATCAATCATAACATCAGATGATATCGAAATGAAAAGCGATGAGAATATGCCAATCGATGACAACAAGAAATTCAATGAAACGTTACAACAGATTATTATTCATAACATTAAAGCAGTGGAAACAAGAAGTGGTAATTGTAAACCATAGTTAACTTTATTGATTAAAATTATATAAACTATCATGATATAACTTTATATGACAGGTCAGAGCGTTAATATCGATGAGTTTGGCGAACCCGAGCTAATAGGTAGGGGTGGGTTTGGCGGTGTGTATAAAGTGAAGCATAACTCAGGCGATGAGGTGTACGCCTTTAAAACTGTCACTTTTCTCGGTAAGTTAACTAATTTTATTACAATTGTTTAATTTGTATAATTTATCATATTTGTAAAACACTTTGCATTTGAATAATTTCTATCCTCGAGTGAATGCTATCGAGTATTACATATCGTGTGAAATATTTAAGCTCTTAAAGAGTGTTGAATATCTCCGCGGATTGAATCCACCTGTCATTCATCGGGATCTCAAACCGGACAACATTTTGATTGCAAACATATTATATGATAATAACAACAATAGCCGGCGATTCATAAAATTAATACATTATACGGTGGCCAGTGTCTGCTCATCGTTAACTCATCCTTCTCCCATACCCCCGGCCGTCCACCGAGTGGTCTAAACGGGCGCCGGGTCAAACTATATGTATGTAGCATGTAGTTTGAACTCATCACTCAATACCGGGATGGCGTCCAATTCAGTACACAGCCCTGTGTGATCACACCCCGCCCGGGAGGGGAACGTCTTAGGTGGACATCGGTCAGTAGTACCGGCTAGTATTATTCTGGCTAATTGTTATATTAGACGCATCTTGATTATATTTGTATAAATAATCATTAAATATGGATATAATTATGTGTCTAATAATGGGCTAGTTGCTATTAAAATGAATAGAAATGAAGATGAGTAATTTAATGTACTATTGACAGTACAAATATGCAAATTAGTTGCTCATCTTCAAAAAAACCTTGGTTCGGCCCCCTTATACAACTACTTAAATAAACTGTCATTAAGTGATTGCAGCGCTTATCGACAGTGTTATGAAATATAAGTGGACTTCGATTGTACAATAAATACTACTCCCACTGTTAAACATGGTATTTGTTGTTTTGATAAATTACATTAAAACAAAATAAAAGTTTAAAGTGACAAGTTAATATATAATTAATTTAATGCAATAACAATATTGCCAAACAAAATGACTAAAATCTGTGATGTTTGTGGGGATAAAGGACTAGGTAAGTTAATTGAAATTTTTAATCTAGTACAATTAATTGATAATTGACAGTGTTGCATTTATAGCCAGAAATTTTGGTGCCATTACTTGTGATTCGTGTAAATCATTTTTCAGGAGGACTGCACTTAAAAATGTAATTTAAAAGTTTAATATAAAATAATTTATTGTTATTAATATAATTGATTTTTACTGTATTTAGCAATTAATTTGTGCCTCAAATGGCAAATGCAATATAAATGTAATGACGAGAGGTTTGTGTAGAAAATGCAGACTTAAAAAGTGTTTTGCTGTCGGCATGAAAACGGTATTTATAATTATTTGTTTGTACTATTTATTAACAATATTTAAAACTTTAAAAACTTATTAATAATTAAAGGAATTAATACAAAGTAATGAACAAAAGAAATGCAAGAAAATATTGATAAAAGAAAAACTAAATAATTCAAAACATAAACCCAGCGATAAATCCAATAATTGCGATGATTTCTCACCAAATAATTCACAAAACAATTCAATTATTAGCGACACAACTATTGACGAGAATTCATTGTTTGATTTATTAAACATTAATTTATTTAATATTAATGATATTGAAAAGGAGTCGATTGTAAGTAAAAACAATAAAAGTGAAAAATCTAATGCAATGCCTGTTAACGAGAAGAAAAGGCATGAATTGTCAGTAATTCCTGTATTTAAGACAATCAGTGATTATAATGGTATCAATCAATTGGAGTCCAAACGCATAGCAGAACTACTGAACGCTTCAAACAATATATTTCAATATCCGCTACAAAGCAATGCAATTATACATAGGATTAAAGATATGGACGAATTTGCGAATAAATTCCAAGATTATAGCGAAACATCCATTAGATTAATAATTCAATTCACAAAAAGTCTGAACAGTTTTAACAATATCTGTGCCGACGATAAGTATGCGCTCATGAAATACGGGGGCAAAGATCTGGTGCTCATCCGATTCCTTAAACATTATGATAGAGAAAGTCATAGTCTTATAACACCGATTGTAAGTTACATTTATGGCATGTATTATGTAAATATAGTAATCAAATACCTTATTTAGGATCGAGATAATTCTGTGCAATTTGATTTGGGTTTGTACAGGGCAAATGATAAAACTAGTTTAACAAAACCTTATTATAATAAGTTTCAATCAATATGGAATTATGATGATCCCATTCTAATTGAATTGGTATTTATATATGACTTTCATGTATTATAATTTATTAATTTTTGATTAATCTATATTATTTAGTTGACAGCAATAATGTTATTTAACCCAAATCGGCCCAATTTATTACATAAAAATAGTGTCAGGCAAGTATAATAGTTAGTTTTATATCAATATAGAAAAATTTAATTTATTTAATTTGTTTGTTAGACTCGAACAACAACTGTATATATATTTACTGCAAAGATATCTACTATTGAAATACCGCTCGGAATCGCAATTAAAGTTACAACAAATAATGAATTCATTACAAGATGTGAATACTTTAAATCATTTACAAACCAAACATTTCGGTGATCTGAATAAATACGTAAAACATTTTGGGCCACTTATGACCGAAATATGTCGACCATAATAACACTAACTTAATGCTAAATTATTGCTATTTAGTAATCATAAAATTTATTTGTTATTCATTTTTAATCTCTATATATTAACCATATTACATTCTCACACCACATTAATTAGATTATAATAATTATAAAATAAAGTTCTGTAAATGACTTTGACCATGGTAACTAAAATAAAATAAACTTAATACACAAAAAATAATGGCATAATCAACATAATCAAAACAAATCTTGTTAATAATTAATAAATTATAAATATATTTTAAAGTATAATACAATAAAACTTGTTATTATTGAGTTAGTACTTCAATGTCAAACCACTTCAATATAGAGATCCTGTGTTAATAAACTGTCATTAAAACGATTGCAGCGCCTAATCACTGATCATGAAGTGATTGCAAGTGTTTGCATCATGGTTGGTGTTTGTTTGTTGCTAGTATTGGTAAAATTAACACATTATTGTTGATCTATGACATAGATTCTGTGTTGATAAATTATTAAAAATAAATAATACAAGTTATAGAAAGAATGTCAAAAATATGTGATGTTTGCGGTGACAAAGGACAAGGTGAATTAAATATTTTATTAAATGCGATCTAGTACAATTAACAATGTATTTACAGCGAGAAACTTTGGTGTCATAACGTGTTCCTCGTGTAAGACATTCTTCTGGAGATATGGGCTTAAAACCGAGGTTTTTATTATAACTATCTGTTATTTTAATTCAATTCAATTATATTACTAGTCATGGATTTGTCCCTCGGATGGCAAATGCAATATAAATGTAATGACGAGACGGATGTGTCGTAAATGCAGGCTTGAAAAGTGTTTCGCTGTGGGCATGAAAAAGGTATTTAATAATTAATATAAATCGCTAATTAGTAAATATAATTAAATAACTATTATAGGAATTAATACGAAGTGACGATGAAATTAAACGCCGAAATGAATTAATAAAAGAAAATCAATTAAAACATAAACTCAGCGATGAATCCCATAATTGTATTGACTTCTCGGCTAATAATTCAGATATCGATTCAATGATTAGCGACACAACTATTGATGAAATCTTTGCATTTAATTTATTAGACAATAATTCACTCACTATTAGTGATATTGAAGAGAAATTAATTGTATTTGAAAACAAAACAAGTGAAACATGTGTTAACGAGAATAGAAATACTGTCAATGAAAGTAAACGACAAGAATTGTCAGTAATTCCCGTATTTAAGACAATCAGTGATTATAATGGTATCAATCAATTGGAGTCCAAACGCATAGAAGAACTACTGAACGCTTCGGTTATATTTAATTATCCATTGGATAGCAATGCGAGTATACATAAGATTAAGGCTTACGACGATATGTTACCAGAATTTACAGAATTGTCCGACGAATTCATTAGACTTATCATTAAATTTACAAAAAGTATGAATAGTTTTAATAATATCTGTGCCGACGATAAGTATGCGCTTATGAAACACGGGGGCAGAGATGTGGCGCTAATCCGTTGTCTAAAGTATTATAATAAAGAGATCGAGTCTTTCATAACACCGACACAAGTTAGTTAAGCTATCACTTAAAAATTGCCCGAATGCTAATTTTAATTATGCACTTGTTTAGGACCAAGCTCATGCATTTCAATTTAGTTTGGACCTTTATCAACCGCCGATTATATTAAAAACATTAAAATCATATTATGAAAAGTTTTTATCAATCTGGAAATATGATGATCCTATTATTATTGATTTGGTATAATTTATTTAATCACATTTATTATTATTATAATTAGATAACTACTATGTAATTTTTTTAATCACAATTAAGTTATCGGCAATCATGCTATTTAATCCAAATCGAAGAAATTTGTTGCATAAAAATATTGTCAGGCATGTAGTCTTATGTTATATTTATATAATTACAATTTGTAAATTAAATTAACTATATTAATTGTTTGTTAGACTCGAACAACAACTGTATATATATTTACTGCAAAGATATCTACTATTAAAATACCGCTCGGAATCAGAATCACAGACAAGACTACAGGAAATAATGGATTCATTGAAAGACATCAATACTTTACATGAATTTCAAATAAAACATTTTGATGAATATACTTTCATATTAAAATATATGGGGCCCCTTATGAGGGAAATGTTTTTACCGTAATATTATTTCACACATATACAAGTTTTCATCAAGAAACATTGTTGAATAATTAATCAATAACTTTGTTTTAAAAAATAATATTTATAACTGGCCAAAAATAACTTGTAAATATTGTTTGTTTATACTAAACCCAATGTAATTAAATTTATTAAATTATTTTATATTATAAACTTAAATAATAAAACTAATATTATATTCATAATTCTCTACAGGAATTGTAACTTCTATTAGGTTATCAAATGATACAATATATACTTTTATTGCATACATCAATATGTTTGTATAAAACTTGTTCTGTAATTGGGTTTCAATGCCATTTCAATAATACAAAACTAATTAAATATATACTGTAATCGTCATAAATGTTTACAACACTTATCAAGTAATAACGCCCATGAGTTGTGTTTATCATTTAATGGTTATTCTGGTAAACAAAATTATACATGGTTTAAACAACCATGTTGGTTAAAACATATATTAGATAAATACATAAATATAAATTAATTTAACTATGAATCATAAGAAAACGAGCAAAATATGTGACATTTGCGGCGATAAAGGACGTGGTAAATATGGATTATTAAATTATATTGTATCTACAGTGAGATTAACATTGCATTTATAGCCCGAAACTTTGGTGCCATGACTTGTGAGAGCTGTAAGTCGTTCTTCAGGAGGAATGGACTTAAAAATGAGGTTTTGTTTGAATTTCCTATTAATTAATTAAATTTATTTATAAATTATTTATATTAATAGATATCTAATTGTCTCTCAAATGGCAAATGTATTATAAATGTAATGACGAGAAGACTATGTATTAAATGCAGGCTTGAAAAGTGTTTGGCTGTTGGCATGAAATCGGTATTTATTTGTAATTTATTTGTATTTTTTAATTTGAAATAAATTTATTAAAACAGGAATTAATACGAAGTGATGAACAAAACAAATGTCGCAAAGAATTGATTAAAGAAAACAAATCAAAACATAAACCGAGAGATGAATCCCAGAATTGTGTTAATTTCTCACCAAATTATTCACAAAATGATTCAATAATTAGCGACACAACTATTGATGAGGACTTTATGAGTGATTTATTAGACAATAATTTATTTGATTTTATTGACACAGAAGTGGAGTTCAATTCATTTGAAAATAACAAAAATAAAACTTCTGTTTGGGATAATCGACGGCAAGAATTGCCAGTAATTCCCGTATTTAAGACAATCAGTGATTATAATGGTATCAATCAATTGGAGTCCAAACGCATATCTGAACTACTGATCGCTTCCAACACTATATTTAAACATCCGCTACAAAGCAATGCAATTATACATAAAATTAAGAATTGGGATGAATTTGCGGACAAGTTCAAAGATTATAACGAATTATTTATTAGATTAATAATTCAATTCACAAAAAGTCTGAACGGTTTCAACAATATCTGTGCCGACGATAAGTATGCGCTCATGAAATGTGGGGTCAGAGATCTGACAGTAATCCGAGGTCTTAAATATTATGATAAATACAATCACAGCTTTATAACACCAATTGTAAGTTATATTATATTTATTGCAATTTAGTGATGTAAATTTAACAATCAAATACTTTATTTAGGATCATGAACATTCAATACAATATGATTTAGAGTTATTTATGCCGGCAGAGAAAACTAGTTCATTAACAACTTATTATAATAAGTTTCTATCAATATGGAATTATGATGATCCCATTCTAATTGAATTGGTATTTACTTTATAAACCTTTTATTATTATTAACTTAATTTATCATAATTTATTAATTTGTGTATAATTTCATTTTTAGCTGATAGCAATCGCATTATTTAACCCAAATCGGCCTAATTTATTGCATAGAAATAGTGTCAGGCAAGTAGTTTTATATTGTGATTAATATATGTAACTTATATAAATTTGCATAATTTATTTTGTTAGACTCGAACAACAACTGTATATATATTTACTGCAAAGATATCTACTATTAAAATATCGCTCGGAATCGGAATCACAAACAAAAGTACAGCAAATAATGAATTCATTACAAGACGTCAATACTTTAAATCAAGTTCAAACCAAAAGTTTTGAATATGATATGTATTTAAAACATTTTGGGCCACTTATGAGGGAAATATGTTCACCATAATAAAACTACTAAAACTACTTTTAATAGATTTTGCTATTTTGTTAATATAGAATTTATTTCTTATTCATTTGCTATATACAAAAAGTTATATCTATTTTGCATTTTAAAATATACAGTATAACTATATAATTAACAGTATAATTAATATATTTATAATAAGTCAATAATAAATTTGTGATCAACTTTAACCATGGTAACAGAAATAACATGGTTTTAATACAAGAAATTAATAATAATTTTTTCCATAAAATTAATAACATTTAACGCAAATAAATAAACAAAAAAGTTTCAAACAATTATAAACAATGTTTCTATTTATTGTTAGAATGATTCTTAAAAATTTAAGGTAAATTTATGCAGTTTTTCAGCACTATTACAAACAGGTTTTGGAAATAATAGACATAATTACTTTTTGTTAGACTTCAATGTCATATCAAATCAATAAACTGTTGTTAAAGCGATGGCAGCGCTTATCTACTGATTGTAAAATGATTACATGTATTTACATCATGGTTGATGTTTGTATGTTGTTTTGAATGGTAATATTAAATGTGATTGTTAGTAAATATAAATAAAATATAACTTATAACCAAGATGACAAAAATCTGTGATGTTTGCGGCGATAAAGGGAGAGGTGATTAAAATAAATTATTTTTAATGATCAAGTGCATTTTTAACATTGTTATTTATAGCCAGGAACTTTGAGGCAATGACTTGCGAGTCATGTAAGATATTCTTCCGAAGACATGGACTTAAAAATCAGGTTTTTATTGTATATTGTTTTAAATGTAAATTATTTACTAATTAAAATTATTTTCATAGCAATTAATTTGTGCCTCAAATGGCAAATGCGATATCAATGTAATGACGAGAAGTTTGTGTAGAAAATGCAGACTTGAAAAGTGTTTTGCTGTTGGCATGAAAAAGGTTTTTATTTACTTATTTGCAGTTAATTTTATAAATATTAATTATAATTAATTAATTAACAGGAATTAATACGAAGTGTTGATCAAAACAATTATAGAAAAGCATTAATTAAAGAAAATAAATCAAAACATAAACCCAGAGATGAATCCCATAATTGCGATGATTTCTCACCAAATAATTCGCAAAACAATTCAATTATTAGCGACACAACTATTGACGAGAACTTTACGACTGATTCGTTAGACAATAATTTACTTGATTTTGATGATATTGATTGGGATGTGAATGTTATTGAAAACAATCCACATGAAAAAACTAATGTAATTCTTGTTAACGAGAATAAACGGCAAGAATTGTCAGTAATTCCTGTATTTAAGACAATCAGTGATTATAATGGTATCAATCAATTGGAGTCCATAAGGATATCGGAATTAATGAGCGCTTCAAATATATTTAATTATCCATTGAATAGCAATGCGTTTATACAAAGGTTTAACAATTTGAATGAAATGATATCCGGAACTAAAAATAAAAGCGAAGAATTTATTAGACATATCATTATATATGCAAAAAGTCTGAACGGATTCAACAATATCTGTGCCGAAGACAGACATATGCTTATGAAATACGTGATCAAAGATCAGCTGTTAATCCGTTGTCTTAAGTACTATAATAAAAATATCAAGAGTTTCATAATACCAATAGTAAGCTAATTAGTAATTAATTAGTAATTACCTTGATAGTTTTGTTATTTAATTATTATATTTATTATTTAGGATCATGATCATTCAATACAATATAGTTTGGACTTATATAAACTGCTCGACTTTAAGACCATGATGGAAATATATTATGAAAAGTTTTTATCAATCTGGAATTATAATGATCCCATTATTATTGAACTGGTATTAAATTATTATATTAATTAATTTGTATTTTTAAATAAATTTCCTTTTTATCAAGTTGACAGCAATAATATTATTTAACCCGAATCAACCGAATTTATTACATAGAAATAGTATCAGGCAAGTAGTTATATGCACTAAATAATTAAAAATTATTATTGTTTGTATATATTTAATAATTTATTTGTTGCATAGACTCGAACAACAACTGTATATATATTTACTGCAAAGATATCTACTATTGAAATACCGCTCGGAATCCGATTCACAAACAAAAGTACAGCAAATAATGAATTCATTGAATGATATAAATGCAGTCAAAGAGATTGAAAGCAAATATCTTCAATTGAAATTGTATTCAAAATATTTGGGACCACTTCAGGCAGAAATATTTTCACCATGATATTATTTAATTATCAATTTTACTCCGGATTAATTAATATTAATGTGCATTCTTTTACAATATAATTTTTATGATTCTAAACATTATACAAGCATGATACATTAATAAAAGTGTGAAAATGTCTATAAAACATTTGCGTGTTTTTACCTAAAGTCTTATATTTATCAATTAAGGCATATAAATAATAAATACCGTAAAATTCTGCCTATTACTCGCGGGTTATCGGCAAAAAAATCATATTGCGTGGGTGGTTATGTGATGTCTTAAATTACTGTTATTTTATTCAACAATCATTATAATATTACAGTACATATCATTCAAATCCATCAAAATCAGAGTCAGAATCACCAATAATAGGTATTACAATAATATCAATATAATTAATGTATTTTATTTTTCAATTTTTAAACACATTTAGGAATTTTAAAAAAATATATAATATGCTGCATATTTTATGACAATTATTTATTGTCTAAAGAGGCTAGTTTATATTTACATTTTATTGTATTTCAAACATCTATTTCATTGGTATAAATGAAGTTATATTATTATTATTTCCAATAAGCATGTTATAACTATGATTAATGAAACACAATAATAATTAATTTTTAAAAGTAACAGGCATTGCACAAAATGATTGTCATTTTTATAATACAACTGATTAAAATAAGTCTAATGCTATTAAACACCTAGAATTATTCTGTAATCTTGCAACAGAATCTAACCATGGTTGCTTATAAAAGTAATTTTATTATATTGTTGTATTATGGCGAGAATATTTCATTCATTAGTGGCCCAAAATATTTAGCAAAAGGCTTATATTCAGTTTGAAAAAGTTTGCCCTGCATTTCATTTAATACATTTACATCACTTAAAGTTATCATCAGTTTTTGTAGTCTTGTCTGTGATTCCGAGCGATATTTCAATAGTAGATATCTTTGCAGTAAATATATATACAGTTGTTGTTCGAGTCTAACAAACAATACAATTAATTATTAAAACACAAATTTAAAAAATATAAACCAATTTCAAAACTTACTTAACAGAAGTTTTATGTACTAAATGTGGTTGATTTGAATTAAACAGCATTATTACTGTCAACTAAATATAACAATAATAATTCAATTAATTAAATAAATTAACAAGTCAATTTAATAATGTAATACCAGGTTTATAATAATCGGGTCGCTGTAATCCCACACCAGTAAAAATTGTCCATAGTAATATTTCAACGAGTTATAGTGTGTCTGTTTAAACATACACAAATCGAGCTGAACTGATCTTGAACTATCCTAGATTAATAAAATAAAATAGACTAAAACTTAAGATATAAATAAAACTCATATACTGATATTACAAGTGGCATGATAAAACAAGCACGATCCTGATGATAATATTTCAAATTCCGGATTAACATCAAGTCTTTGCCGCCGTATTTAACTAAAGCCAAGCGATCGTTAAGACAGATAGTGTTGAATGCCATCAAATGTTGTGCAAAACTGATTAAATCGGTCACAAATTTCTCATTTAAATGTGAATAATTTACAATCATTTTCTCCAACCCTAATATTTCGTTAACTATTTTATCGTTATTTAACCGATAGTTAAATACATTGGAAGCGGTCATCAATTCCCGCATCCGATTGCACTCTAATTGATTCAAACCCTTATAATCGATGAGTTCCCGGAATACGGGAATGACTGGCATTTGTGGCAACTGTTTACCGCTGGCGGTGAATATATTGTGTGTCACATAGTTTTCAATCTCCACAATCTGATCCGTAATCTCTGAATCATTCGTATTGTTTGTGTTGTCCAGCAATATATCAATTTCATGGCAGTTATTATCAAACGATTGTGTAGATTGTGGTGAATTGTCATTAGTACTGTTATTATACTCTCGGTCATTTTCTATTAACTGATACCTTTTTAACAATTCCTATTGAGATTATAATAGATTTACAAGTGTTTCAAAAATAATATAATTTACAAAAAACATCATAAAACTATACTTTTCTCATTCCGACGGCAAAACACTTTTCAATCCGACATTTTTTGCACAACTTTCTAGTGATTGGATTTATTCTGCATTTTCCGCCCGACGGACAGTCAAACGACTGATACAATTAATAAACAAACAAATATTAAAAATTTTAATTTCAATATCAATGTATAGTTGACCTGATTTTTAAGTGCCGTTCGCATGAAAAACGTTTTACACGACTCGCAGGTAATCGCGCAGTAATTTCGGCCTAAATATACATTTAGTTTAACATTAACTTAGATTAAGATTAACTAATAACCAAAATGTGAATTTGTATAAACATATCATAGTTACCATATATGATATATGATATATATATGATATATAACTTACCAACTCCTTTATTATGACCACAAACGCTACACACTTTTGCATTCATTATTATTTTTTATTCAAACATTTATTAAACAACTTAAAATATATTTAAAATAACTCAAATAGTACTATAATTTATATTAAAATATTAATTGTATTAAAAAACAAATAATTTAGTATAATTCAAAATAATTTTAAAATGTTTAAGATATAAACAATATTCACAATACAATGCTTTAATTATTGGTAAATAATAAGGTAAAAGTGGGAATGGCGTGAAAATTGATTGATAATCTAACTTTATACACTTACTGTACAATTTATTGAGCACTTATTGCATATGTTATAACAATATAATATGAGATAATTTTGTCATTCATAAATTTATATTATAAAGGTATTCCTGCATGCTCACTCTGTGGGTAAAATAACAAATTTAACTAAATTAAAACTAGTTTAATTAATAATTTGCCATTGATTACTAAATTATTAATAATTATATACAATATAAATCGGAGAAATTTAAACTATAACAAAGTAAATAATGCTGGTAGATTTAAACTTATACATCTAGAATCTCTTTATATAGGGGTCCGTAATAATAATATGCATTGTGTTTATTATATTCGTCTCTTTCGTAATCTCTATGAAATTCTGATGCAATTCTTAAATCACTTAAACTGATCATCAGGTTTTGCAAACTTGTCGCCGATTCCCACTTTGACCGCCGTTTTAATAATAAATATTTTTGCAGTAAATATATATACAGTTGTTGTTCGAGTCTAACAAACAATGAATTTAAATCAGTTAATGATTGCAAATTAAACATTAGTAAAACAATAACTTACTTAACATTTTCTCGGTGTAATAGATTCGGTCGATTCGGGTTATAAAGTATAATCACTGTTAACTATAAATACAATGTTATATAAAATTAAGTTAGCATCTTTTAAATAATAAATAAATCACATAATTTACCATAAGCATAATAATAGGATCTAGATTCCATTCGGGCATCACTTTATCCAAGAAAGGTTTATAGCGTTCATAACCACTCCATTTAGCAAATTCTGGTATTTTATTGCACATTCTCACTGAATATTCATTGTCCTGGATGAATTTAAAATTAGGCTTTATATTAGTTGACTACAATACAGTATAGCACTTGTATTTTGTATACTTACTATACGGCACACCATTTCCGGTGTGTGGGGATTGAAATGCATCGTAAATCTAAACATTATTATCTCAAAACACCCGCTCCTGAGTAGTGACAACTGGTCTTCACTACATATTGCGGCAAAACTGTCCAATTGTTTGACAAACTTTGAAACTTCTCTAATGTGACAGTCTATGCGTTTCATTGAGACCAGGTACATTTCTCGCTCATTGGTAATGTCTATAATCACCTTATTGGATGGATAGGCAAACACTTTAGCCGCCCATAACAACCCCGATATCCGCTGTAACTCGAGTTGATTTATGCCGTTATAATCGACGAGTGATTTAAACACAGGAATCACTGGCCATTGTCTCACATTTAGCTCTTGGTTTAATTGACAGCTGTTTTTAATGTCCAAAATCTGTTGGTTGAGGTCATTGTCGATGATATGTGCTGTCGAGTCAATCAAAGCGTCGATTTTGTTGCAATTATGGGAACCGATGGCTATTGTTGTGGTCGTAGTCCTCGTCTCCTGTGATGAAGATCTCAATGTTTTCAGTAGTTTTTGTCGGCGTTTCTCTTCACCCATCCGTCGTCTCCACTCGTTTTCCTCATCGCTTCGTATGAATTGCTGTTGAAATAAAATTTTTGATTAATAATTTCAAAAATTAATATAAATTATTAATAGATTTAATTACGGATTTCATTCCGACGGCCAAACACTTGTCGAGACGACATTTCGGGCAATATTTTCTGGTCTCTGGTGTTATAATGCAATCGCCGTTTGCAACACNATTTAATACACAAGCAATAAATACATTCTTGTTATTAGAAAACCACTAATATATTATAGTTATTAATACTAGTTATTGAATAATTATTAATGTGCCAATATATAACAATACAGAAACTATCTGTAAGTACTCTCGATCATTGTAATTGATACAATTAACATACATGTTGTATGTTTTAATGTTTGTATCCATGAATTGTATAATGTATACAAGTACAAGTATATGTAAGTTATGTTATAAAGGAGGTGCCTGAATCAATAAATTGATATCAATTATTGATAAATAAAAATTAAAATATATTTTTTTCCTGTTTTGTATAGTTTTAATAAAACTATAAGTTTTAATTAAATGTTACATTATAAACATCTGGTATCAACTTTAAACGTCTTGTTATGGCTAATATCTCAATTACTCATTCTCTGTACAAGTTTTCCCTTAATCTCAACACAACTATAATTTCAATTACTATTATTTTGGTTTTAAAAACCATATTTAACAATATTTGAACATGTTCAATTTAATCTTTATTTTAATCATCATTAATACAGTCATATGTAAGTCAAATATCTGCTGAACATTCACAATTATGTTATAATTAATAGTTTTATTGAATTTCATGCTATACTAAATCAAATAAATGTGTTATTTACAAAATTACACAGTAATTGACCCTGGTCCACTGAGCAAGCAACAATTTGGCGCATCAATAATTCCTAAATTTACCGTTTCGTATGACACGATCGTTATCACCAGACATATGATTGCCAACTGATCAATGTTTGATGTGATCTGCAAAGCAAAAAGGTTTTGGTCATGGTTAAAGGCGAGGGTCTGACCTGGACATAAAAAGATCATGATGAGAACAAATACGTAATTATGTCTATTTTGGTTTTGATTGTAATGAACATAAGTTTTTGTTGTTATATAGTTTTATTTAAAAAACGTGTCAAATTTTTAACATAATAGTTCTGTTTTAATATAGATTTACTGATATTTTGCTGATATTATGACCAGAATGATACTGGACCCATAGTCGGCACTCGGGTTCTGCCTTAAGCTGAGCCCCCAATAAACATGTGGCAATCGTCTCGGCAAATACAGTGACCAAGGTGGTATTGGTTAAATTAATTTAACCGATTATGAAATGTGGTGATTAAGGATTTCCTCAACATCTTATAAAAGCCACAAATTAGGGTATAGTAACTATTTATTATTGGTTTTATTTGAACATTTTGTCTCAATAAATTGATTGACCACGATCCATCCAAACATAACCAGAATATTGTGGATCTAGATGGTGTCCGATCCAAAAACCGCGCTAAGCGTAGTAAACAATAATGGTTGACCACATTTAGTTTATATTCGTTGTGTTGTAAGAGTTAGTAAAACTATTGTGTAAATCGTGACAAATGATACCGATTTTGTACAACAGTTTGATTAACACTTTTGCAACATTTTATTCGCTAATTCTTAGGCTCGGAAAGCAATTATTTAAATGCATTACAATGTAAACTAAAATTATGTATTGAATGTAATACTGTATGTGTTATATTAAATGTTAATGTGGTTTTTAATAATTAACAAATATGACATTATTATAGGTTTAATTAAATTTAATTTTAAATTTTATAATATATGATTAGTTATGTATAATTTAAAATTCAATAAAATAATTATTATTACATATTAATAATTTTTAAATTTAAGTAGTTTTATATTTGATTTAAGTATATTTTAATGCTTGTCCTAAAAATAACAATCTTTATATTTCTTATATGCGGTTATATTGTAATCTCTATAAAATTCTAACGACTAGAAAATATTATTAAAAAATTTTAAACTTAATTTAAAACTATAGGTTTTAATAAAATTATACATTTTAAACATCTGGTATCAACTTTAAACATGTTGTTGTAATTAATATATGAGTTAGTCAGTGGAAGATTGTCATTAACCGCAACCCAACTATAATTTCAATTACTATTATTTTGTTTTAAAGCCATATTTAACAATATTTGAACATGTTCAATTTAGTCATTTTTAATACAATCATATGTAAGTCAAATATCTACTGAAAATTTACATAACTTTTACAATTATGTTATAATTAACAATTTTGTTAATTTTATTTTATACTAAATTGAATAAATTTGTTATTTACAAAATTATGCAGTAATTGATCCTGGTCCTCGCAGCAAGCAAGAATTTGACGCATCAATAATTCCTAAATTTACTTTTTGTATGATGATCGCTATCATCACACATATTATAGCGTATACTGCAACTTATCTGGTATAATGTTATCACGTGAGTTTAATTTGCAACAAACAATTTATATGAAAAATGTTAATTAAACTTTAAATAAAACTACATCAATCTAATTATTTATTTAAAAATCTACTGTTATGTTACAATAGCTGTATATCTAATTTAATATATTGATATTTATAATTAATATATTTATTTTTTATCTATTATTAAATACACTAATAGTTTAAACAACATCAGTCTCAACATTAATTCAAATTTTAATTAAAATAAATATAAAAATTTAATTAAACGATACATAAAACTGATTAAACACATTAATAAACTATTCTCAGAAAATGTTTTCTATTTCTTATTTTAATAGATATTAATTTTTTTAAAACGTGTCAAATTTTTAACATAATAATCTTGTTTTATTGTACAATTATTAGGAATATTGGCGTTTTGATCATCGTTGGCGTTAGCGATAGCCACTGCATCCCTGGCCGGCACTTGGGTTCTGCCTTAAGCTAAGCTCCCAATAAACATATCGCAATAATCTCGGCGAATGCAGTCACCAAGGTGGTATTGGTTAAATTAATTTAACCCATTATGAATGCGGTTATCAAGGACATCCTCAACATCTTATAAACGCCACAAATTACCGTATATATTAACTATTCTTTATTACTTTTATTTAAACATATGTTTATGTAAACATTTTGTTTCAATAAATTGATTGACCACGATCATATCAAACATAATCAGAACATTGTGGGCCCTTATTTTTGACCGATGCCCATGCACATGCTTCCAAAACCACGCTAAGCGTGGTAAACAATATGTGTTGATAACATTTTGTTTAGTCTCATTGTGTTGTAAGAGTTTAGCGAAACTATTGTACAAATCGTGACAAATGATACCGATTTTGTACAACAGTTTGATTAACACTTTTGCAACATTTTATTCGCCAATTCTAAGGCCCGGAAAGCAAATACTTAAATGCATTAAAATGTATACTGAATTTATTGTATATTAAATGTATGACATTATTATAGTTTAATTAAATTTAATCTCAAATTTTATAATATATGTCCAATAATTATAATCAATTTGTTAATCAAATTAATCTATTTTATAAATAGTTATGTATTACTTAAAATGATTTTAAAAATTCAATAAAAACACAATTATTATATAATAATTATTTTTAAGTATTTTATTTAAGTATATTTTAATGCTTTTCTTATGGTGTAACGTTAAATCTATAGCAATGCTAAATCTACCTTAAAATCTACCTTTTTAAAGTTTGTGATATGTTAAGAATATAAACAAATTAGGATATGAATAGGAGTTTGTGAATAATAATTTTATTATTTAATGTTAGACCTATGATAATGCAAAGTTCATAAGTAGTATTAATTTGTCAAATATTCGAGACTATAACTAATACAGTATTAGCTAATTAAGAATGCATGTAAAAATTAATATAAAAACTAAACTATTTGTCTGATTTTAACGATAAAAATTATTATAAAATTTTTTAAATTTAATTAAAAACTATATATTTTAATTAAATGTTACACTTTAAACATATGGTTTCAACTTTAAACGTGTTTTTGTGGTTAATATATGATTAGTTAGTGGAGGTTTGTCCTCAACGGGAACCCAACTATAATTTCAATTACTATTATTTTGTTTTATAGCCATATTTAACAATATTTGAACATGTTCAATTTAATAATCATTATAGTTATCATTAATACAATCATATGTAAGTCAAAGATCTATTGAAAGTCTACATAACTTTCATAATTATGTTATAATTAAGAATTTTGTTAAATTTTATTTTATACTAAATTGAATAAATGTGTTATTTACAAATTATGCAGTAATTGATCCTGGTCCACTCAGCAAAAAACAGTTTGACGCATCAATAATTCCTAAATTTACTGTTTTGCATAATGATTGTGGTAATCAGATTCATGATGGTCAATACGGCAACGGGTCTGGTATAATGTTATCACGTAGGTTTTGTTTGCAAATATTTATTTTAATTATTTTATTTTAACTTTAAATAAAAGTAAATTAATATAATTATTGTATAAATAATTTACTTTTATGTAAAATAGCTATATATTTAATTTAGTATATTTATATTTGATAGAATTATTGATTTTCAATTTTTAAATATACCAATAGTTTAAACAACATAACTCTTAACAACATTTCAATTTTTAAGTAAAATTAGTTTTAAAAAAATAATTAAACAATGCGTAAAACTTATTAATTACATTCATAAATAATTTCCAGAAAATGTTTTTAATTTCTAAAGATATGCTAATTTAAAAAATATTAATTACAAAATAAAATTATTAATTTAATCATTTAAAAAACTTTTCAAATTTTTTTAAACATAATAGTTTTGTCTTATTTTAGATTTATTTATTTCGTGTTGATATTATCATCTGTTAGCCACTGAACCCCTGGCCGGCACTCGGGTTTTGCCTTAAGCTAAGCCATCACTAAACATAGCGCAATAGTCTCGGCAAACGCAGTGAACAAGGTGGAATTGAATAAATTAATTTAAACGATTAAAACATTTTGTTATTAGAATCATATCTTACAACTTTGCACTATGCAAATCTCCATATGATGTTCATCCAATTGCACATATACAATTATAATAAATATGGTGATCAGGGGCATTTACCACATCTCAAAAACCCTACGAATTACGGTATAGTAAATATGTTTTATTGGTTTTATTAAAACATGTGTTTAATTAAAAATTTTGTCTTAATAAATTGATTGACCATGATCGATACAAACATATCCAGAACATTGTGGGCCTCGTTTTGATCGATGCCCATGCTCTATTTCGAGCCAATAATCAAAGCTAAGCGTGGTAAACAAAATTGTTGACCACATTTAGCTTTTATTTGATGATAACACGGCCTAAACGGCTGTCACCGCTGCGGACAACTCGTTGTGTTGTAAGAGTTTAGCGAAACTATTGTACAAATCGTGACAAATGATACCGATTTTGTACAACAGTTTGATTAACACTTTTGCAACATTTTATTCGCCAATTCTTAGGCCCGGAAAGCATATATTTAAATGTATTAAAATGTATACTGTATTTATTGTATAAATTTTTAGTTTATTAACTACATTTGTAGTTTAATTGTCAATAATAAACCAATATTTAATAATTAATAATTTTTAAATTTACTATCAATTAAATACTGTTAGTTTAACAAATTTTAAAGTTAAAATAATGAATTACACGTCAGAAACTATTTGTATGCAGAGATTTATAATGAATCATTATACTTTTTATATGCGATTCTATCGTAATCTCTTTGAAATTCTGATGACTAAAAATTACTATAAATTAAATTAAAAACTATATGTTTTAATTAAATTTTACATTTTAAACATCTGGTATTAACTTTAAACATGCTGTTGTGATTAATATACGAGTTAGTCAGTCAAAGTTTATCCTTAATTTGCAACCCAACTATAATTTTAATTACTATTATTTTGTTTTAAAACCATATTTAACAATATTTGAACATGTTCAATTTAATCATCATGATAGTCATCATTAATACAATCATATGTAAGTTAAAGATCTACTGAAAATTTACATAACTTTCACAATTATGTTATAATTAACAATTTTGTTAAATATTATTTTATACTAAATTGAATAAGTGTTATTTACAAAATTATGCAGTAATTGATCCTGGTCCTCGCAACAAACAACAATTTGACGCAT